TTTGGTGTTGTGCTAGATGAGAGAAATTATGGAGAGTATTGCTTTAAAACATCACATGAAAATAGACAATAAAGCCTCTGAGAAACAAGTGCTTGTGTGCAGTCTGCTGAACGTGGGTAGTGCTTATTTGATTTGATATCTCAGTAGTTTAATGTTAGTTTCATTTATCCATGTCACCTGAAATACATTGTGTGGTTAATGAGGCTGAACACAGATGCAGCTGAGCCCTAAAATATCTCTCCAGTTTTACTGTGTGGCTCCAGCACTGTTACATAATGTCTTGTGAAATGTAGCTACTATAAACAATTCTAACACATTTTACTGTTGCAGTTAATAATCTGCTCGTGGTTTGATGACTTCATAATCAAAATACGAACTAAAACAAATCCACGAGTATCAGAACAAGTGATCTGTGACGGCCGTGATTGGCTTCCTAAGGATTAGGAATAACCTCATTGGGACTGGAGGATGTTTAAACTGGATAGAGTGCATGCTTGCTCATGTTCCATCGTATATAATCTCCAGACGCTTTATTAGGAACACCTTAGTACTTCAAGGTTTGACCCCCTTTTTGCCTGCAGATCTGCCTTAATTCTTCATGGTATAGATTCCGTGAGGTGCCGGAAACCATGTTGATATGACAGCTTTGCACAGTTGCTGCAGATTTATCAGATGCACATTCATGATGTGATTTCCACATTCTCCTACATGCCTTCCAGGACCAAGGAGCCGACAGAGGAGCTTTATTAACATGTGAAGAGCCCAACATTTCTGACAGGGCTTAAACAAAGAGCTCAAAGGAAGAGTCGGTATTGGACTCCACCAGGTGGGCAGAAACACAGCAGCACATGAGAAAACAGTGACACAAGTGCTGGTTTCATTTTATTTTACATTAACATTTTAACATAAAAATAAACACGTAATTCACAAAAATCCTGTTAAACCCACTCAAACTCCTCCATAAATGAACTCAAAACCCCATCTCAGGTGGGACAAACACAGGTTCATTGATTTATTTTTTTTGTGACCTGAGTTGTCGCCTCTTTAGGCTCTGCCTGTTAATCGTGGTCCCCTGACAGTAAAGCACTTTCGTTCCCACGGCCCTCGGCCTTTCAGACTTCACATAGGGGAATATGCAAGATGCTGTGGCAGGTAATTTCAAATGCAATGTTTCTATCAGATCAATAAACATCAGCAAACACACGAACCGTTTGTGTGCAGTTTGTAGCACAGTGTTGCAAGCTAAAGGTCCAGCTGCTGTTTTCACGGGGAGAGAAAAGAAAGGGCGCGAACTTCACTCAGAGATGGAGAAAGATGACAAAGACAGGAAAGAAAGAAGAAATGTTTATATTTAAAGATAAGGACTGATCAGTGGTGTTGGAAATTTAAAGCTTACATGTAAGTCCTCGTTTTTTTTAATTGGATATCGGGTTTGTGCATGTGACAATATGCTTTTGTTCATGTTGTGAAACCTGCTGCAAAACAAACTGAAGTAGACTCGCTGTGGTTTGCTGCACTGTGATGGGTTTAAAGTAAAGTACAGTGTGTGACCGGTGCACAGTGGCTAAGGTTTCATGAAGTTAAACTGATGATGCTGAGATGCAATCACTGAATTCCACCTTCATACCAACTTTATAGTGTCTAATATAAAGACAGCATAAACTGTGTATTGTATAGAGAATGGAAATTAGCCAGAACAACTCACGAGAGATCTGCTGACACCTTGTGTCAGCTGATCACAGCCTGTACACTAAGAAAATCTACTGGAGCTCTCAATAGAATTATTGTGTGCTGTGATTCTTTTGCCCACACTGAGCCATTAAGAACGATTTTAGCGTTCCCCCACGTGCTCAATCCCACTTCAGCCCCTGACTGTGCTCATCTTTTGCTTAGATGCAGTCATCCTCTACAACGTAGCCAACAGAAAACAGATTTCTTTTCTCTGCTCATGTTCTGCTTCACTGATTCAAACTGAGAATATTTACTAGTATTAAAATTTAGACTAAAATAAAGTTTGTATTTCCATTTCCTAATATTATTTTATTATTACATTAATAAAAAAACAAGGTTCAGTTAGCTTTGCATAGAAGCAGCTGGTAGAAATGTGTTTCAAAGAGCTACTTTTACTCTGAGTACATTTCAGTACTTTTTCACTTTCACTTGAGTAAAGAAGTGGAATCAGTACTTCAACTTTTACTGGAGTATTTTTAAACACTAGTATCTGTACTTCTACTTAAATACAGAATCTCTGTACTTTTTCAACGTCTGGCTAGCTGCAATTCATTTACAGCAAATCCCACTAAGTGTGGGCCTGTCTACCCCAGTATTTCTCCTCCAGCTGTATTGGTGGATGAAACCTACATAGAGGATGCTTCCTAGGTGAATGAGAACCAACGAGGACTTGATCAGCAGCGGTCAGAGTACCCAGTGCCCACACTGTGAGCGATTGAAGAGCTGCTCCAAAGGTTTCTGTCTGACTGTGGTAACACAACATCAAATATGAGGCATCTGGAGTCAATCTGCATTGACCACTTTGTTAAACTTCCTTCAAGGCCGTCTTACATGAACACAAGTTAGAATATTTAACTTTGACCTTTGCCATTCAGTAAACTTCCCTTTCTTCTTTTTGAGCCATGGATTTAAGATTAGTATTATTATCCTACTGAAAGTCTGATTTTTCTCACATAACTATCCAGAGGGAAAAATCCAATGTTTTCTTATATGTTCATTGGCAAACAATTGTTTTGCTGTGCACAGGAGTAGAGTGGCTCCTCCACCTTTTTGGAGGGTTGGTGATTTGATTCTTCAGTCTGAAGTGTTCTTGAGCAAGACACTGAACATCTTATTTTCCTGCTATTCGACTTTGAACATGTGTGATAGTTAGTAAGCGCCTACAAGGCAGAGAATAGAGTGCTGGCTGAAGGAGTGGATGCAACTAGAAGGAAAAGGATTATTGAGTCCGTTTATTCCACCCTAGTGTTCGTTTTGGACAGCAAAGGCTGGAACACTTGGAACACTTCCCATCCCAGTTAAATTTGTCTCTTTGTGACTGGAAATGCATGCAATTTGGCACTGAGATGCAGATTTTCCAGCAGATCCTTGGATCAAATTGAAGTGTCTGGACTATTCTTTCCATCAAACTCTACTCGCAATTTATTTTCTTTTTTTTCACAGTGAATGATTTTTATTTATTGATTTTACAAAAGTGACAATTAAATATGAACTGGTGATTCTAAATTGGCAAGATGTGAACATCTGAGCGTGTTGGCCCCTCTGTGGCCTTGTGACTGGCTGGTGACCTGTGCGGGGTGCACCCTGCCTCTCGCCCTGCGACAGTTGCGATAGGCTCCGGCCTGTCAGCGACCCTGAATCGGATGCGCAGAAGAAAATGGATGGATGCATGCAAAATGTTGTTTTTGAGTGTCAGCCGTTTCCGCTGGATACAAATATATTTTTCACACATTGTCGATGCTTCTGTGCAACTGGTGTTGTTTTGTTCTCAGCGTCTGTCTGCAGCTTTGAACCCGTTTCAGGAACTTAAAAGTAATGTTCAAATCATAGCAGAGCTTTTTCCATGAAATAAATAAATAAAGGAGTATCCCAAAAAAGCAGCTCAGAGAGTGAAGTTGTGCTCTTTCATTTCTTCTCGTTTTGAAACACCATGTATGCCATTTTCCAGCCCTGAAATTAGAAAGTTACAGATTCATTAGAATCAAAAGTAGTAACAGAAATGTTGCCTGAAGATGTTCCCTGGATCATCAACAGGGAGAAAAAGGGCGATGCGAGAATACAGTTGCATTTAAAAACACTCAAATCAACCAAGAGCATGACATTATGATACATTTATTTTCCTGCCTTTCTTTGAGAATGTACCATCCTAAAATCTCCTCATTAAAATGTAAAGGTGGTAAAGTGCTTTCATTCAGCCATTGTTTTCTATACAAATCCTATCATTGCATCTGCAGGGTCAGCTAACATCAAGTGGCTGATGCTGAGCCTCAGTTTTTGTACTAATGTGTGCAGTTACAGGTCAAGCTCTAGCATTGCTATGCTTGTCCTGAGCTAAGTATTACAGCATTGCACATATATAATATTTAACTGATTAATTTGATGACATCAGTTGAATTTGTTGGAGCAGAAGCAGCGAATAAGGTCAAAGCAGGACAACCTTTACATATGTCATGTGACACAAAATGATGTCAACATATTCGCTGTTAAAAATATTTGCTCTTTTATGGGATGTTTTATGTTTTCTTTGCCATTTGAAATTATAGCCAGAAATCCAATTTTCCCACCAGCACTTTAATGCAGAGCCCATGAAGATCCAGGAGATGGTGATCACACACAAACTATAGGATCGCATTACAGTCATCAGTAATAATCTAACCCTAAATCATTATTCCTCCTTATTTTATAACATGTTTTCACTTTTTTGCCTTTCACCTGTGTTACTCCAGCCTGACCTTTGGCTTGGCTGTGTTTGGTATTTCAAAACAACAAAACCGTGACCTCTGATCACGGCAGTCCGGGAAATCATTTTGAAATGCGCACTCTAAACAAACTGTTGTGAGAGCTGTTCCAAACAAGGCTGAATCCTGGACGATATATAGAGTAACCCAGCCCACCACACACACACACATACAAACACAGACACGCTGGCATTACAGTTATAAAACCAAAAGTCAACATTAAATTAGAAATTAGAAGCTCAAACTAAAGGTGCACAGAGAGTCTGCAACTATAATTGTACAGAAGCAAGTATTTTTGCAATGCTGGTCAGTACATTCCTCCTCGTACAGTTTTCCTGTGCGTCTGAAATCAATTTGAAGGAAGAAAAAATGTAACTCTACAGGTTTGACTTTTCCCTCCAGTTTACTGGATTTTAGATGCTTGCTCCATTTGGGCATGTGGGCAGAGTTACGGCATGATGCCACAGGCATGGTTAGATTTTGGGGGAATTTCCTTAAATAATTATTAACCACCTCTGATTTTATCTCGTCTCTGTGCTCTCATGTTTGTTGCGTTACTCTGCAGTATTTGAGCTCCTGACAGGATGTGTGCGCGCTATCTTGGATTTGTGCTTCTGATTTGGTTTGCAGGAGTGACGCATGGTAAGAATATTAAATTCACTTCCTGCTATTTTCATACTTAAAAACACACTTTTAAAAAGTGCATTTTCCTCTAGTTGCTTACTTGTTCATCACTTTTTCAGCACAAAATGAAAATGTCTGCAGGGCTCCTGTGCTGAATGGGGGTTATTATGTCCCTGAAAAAGAGACTTACCTTAATAAAGCAGAGCTCACTTACGCTTGTGATTCTGGACTGAAACCGGTGGTGGAGGGTTGGTGGGCGAGAAGCAGATGTGAAGATGGGAATTGGGTTCATAAACCACAGTGTATAGGTAAGTGTTCAGTAATATCTCAACAAATTTGTTTCAGTTAGACGCTACAAATCTGCAGGAGTGCGAACTTTATTCAATACCATCAGTTAGCTGTTCATTAAAAGAACAATGTGGAGTGATGCTGTTGTATGAAAGAAGTAATGCATTCAGTTTGAAGCCATAAAAAATTATCCTTATTTGTTATTTGTTTTATTAAATTGTACTCTAATATGTAGTATAATATTTAAAAGTACACAGTAATGTAATGCATACCAAACCCAGCAATTACTTGACAGCTTAGTGTGAGTCTGACGGGTGATATTACTTTCTTCTGTTTACAGAACAGGGTCCTAAATCAGAACAATCGAGGAGCGTGTCAGGATACATTTCACTGCGTGTTGTAGTCGTATAACTATGCATGTGACAAATAAAGAATCTTGAATCAATTAGAGGACAAGAATAATATGAAAACAAGTAAAATACAGTTTAAAGAAAGTCATCAAATGAGTTTGTTGTTTTTTATCTTCTTCAGATCAAAATGCCTGCCTCCCCCCAACAATATCTCATGGGAAATATGATAAAGCAGAAGACGGTTGGTACAAAGAACGGTACTCTATTTTGGTACAATGTGACGATGGATATGAACGCAAAGGCAACAGTAGGCCCAGGTGTAGAAGTGGAACCTGGAGCCCTTTGCCTGTCTGTGAGAGTAAGTCTGCCAGATCCCACACAAACAAATCACTTTCTCACCACCTTCGTCAGTCGGCTTGTAATGACAGGTTTTTTTGTTCCTCACAGGAAGGAGGGATTCATGCAGTGAGCCTCCAAAAATCTCTCATGCAGTCATAATTCATCAATACAAGGAAGTGTTTTCTGCAGGTTCAGAAGTGCAGTATGAATGTGAAGAAGGTTATACTCGAGAGGGCAACAATATCATCATTTGTGAACGTGGACAATGGACTGCAGGGCCAACATGCAGTAAGTGTGTAAAAAATTCATTTTATTTTTTCTCACCTTTCTAAAACCTAAAACAATGTTACAAAAGTTTATAAGGAACCAGTTTCTGTATACGTTCATCAGAAGAGATTCATGCACAGCATGTGTAGAAACTGAATTATTGGCTTTTGAAATTGCAGTTGCACTTTGGGACAGCTTTTTGTTTACTTTTTCCTGGTGCAGGTTGATCCAATGTTGCAAGATGACAAATGACCTGCAAGAATATTTATTTCTGCTTATGACATTAAAAATGAACCCTGCAATCCAAAACAAACAAACAAAACAAAAGCTGCATAATAAATACAACAAGGTCTCACTAAATTGAAAGTGGAAAAAATAAAAATCCATATAATTATATAAATGCAGTCCAGGTCTGAGAGACATTAAACTTTACTTTGGCAACAGTCTGTCAGCATCATAACAGGGAAGATTTACCTTTTTTGGGGTCTTTTTTCTTCTTTACATGGGCTGCTTAGTTTTTATAGGATGACAACCACACCTTTTATCAGCAGTAACTGAGATGATGTAGGACTTTTGTCTTGTTTGACAATTTGTATAAAATTTGAGAATAAATCTGATAGGATTGCCACTGTTACTTGAATTGTGCTCTGAATTCATTTGCAAGTCAGCATGTAAACAACAGTTTATGTGACAGAGCACGTTAGCATTAAAGCTGCTTTTAAGCTGAATAGTCTCAATAATATCTTCGGTTCTGCAGACAAATCATCAGCAGATCAGGGACACTCTGCATCAGACACAGACGTCCAGCCTGAGGGGGGAGGTACATTTTTAATCTTTTTGTCCGTGCACGTCATCTCTGTGTTTGTGTATACTTTAAATCTAAAGCATGTTTTTCATTTAGACAGAAGAGAAAGTGGAGCTGGCAGTGGTAAACAACCGGAGGGTAAGTGAAGCATATTAATTAGTGGATCCAGTCATCTCATTTCTTAGACTATTGGAACATTTTTGGACACAGATATTTATCTTTGACTCTCATTTTTGATTTAGAAACAAGACTTGCAAGACAAGCATTAAAAAAGAAAACGGCAACCAATAAATTTTGAGCACTTAGTAGATTATTTGGCTTCAATTTTCACCCCAACCCTTATCACAGATCTGAGGAAGCTCTAAGTTATCATCTCATTATTCTCCATGTTAATAAAACAGCCCTTTGTGCTTCTGACCCATTACATTTTTACTTTTTTTTTTTTTAACTTTTTTTTTTACCTGAAAGAAAACCTGAATAAAACTCACGACTTAAATGAGTAGGTTAAAAATATGAACTGTTGCCGTTTGTGCTGTGACCTCTTCTTGTCACCAACCATTGGGGGGAATGGGCAGAGGACAGCACGACCCTGCTGTCAGTGGGGGACAACCTTCAGGTGGAGGCAGGTTTTAGACATAAATAAGATATGAATGAGTGTGTATTTGCCTTGCAGTCCATGTCTTTATGAAATCAATGCAGCATGTACCATATAACTAATGAGTTATCTGCTCTCATCAGGTAGAGGAACCACTGGACATCAAAATTCAAAAAATAATTTTTACTCCAAAAGTTTATTAAAAATACTACCTAAAAATTCTTCTTACTGTTTTTTTATTTTATTGCAGGAGCGTTCTGTGTAATGAATGCTGCTAGATATGCTCATTATGGTCTTGCTGCAGCTGAACCTGAAAACATGTGGGAAGGACAAGATAAATATTTTTCTTGTATAGCAAGAGACAAATATATCCGTGTTCGGTGTACTAACAGAAGGCTAGATTTCACCAGATGTAAGTATTTATCTCTTTACATTTTAACTCTTTGAGTTTCTTTTTTTGTTTGGCAGCAAACAAAATTTCTTCTCTGGGATCTGATACACAAACAAGAGGAATAGTGAAAGAAAAGTAAATAAAATTTCCCACACAGGAACATATTGAAATAGAAACCTAGCATTGCTGATTTGTTAAAAGCTGCAGCTGATGTTTGTCTATAGGAATGACACCCCCGCTTCATGTTGTTGTATGGAGAGTCATTCCCAGCTTCCAACAGCCAAACTCCTCTATCTGCCTTTGTCCCAGCACATCACAAAAAGCAGGAGATTCACTCTTTATCACAGAAACAAAGTTTTTTAGTGTTTAGCATCCACACTTGTTCCAGTTGCCCCCAAATCACCACAAAACAGTTTGTTATGGTTACAAAACCTCAAAAACATCAATGAAGTAACTTAAACAAATGTTAATGTGGAATAAAAGTAAAACACGAGGAATAAAAGCAGTCTGGCTCTTTAAGAACAGAGAGGATTTTCCTCTGTAGGTTTATCTTTGAATGCAGTGAATCAGTCTTCACTGATAAAGTTTATGGATCTGAGCTTCTAACTGACAAACTATCTGCTTCTTGTTTAGGCTGTGATGGAAATGAATTTCAATCTTTTGTAAGTGTTATTCTTTGATTTATTTTCAAACAAATATAGTTTCTTTGAAATAAATGTGCTTGATGTTTTTTACTCAGCTGTTGTTTGTTTGTGTTTTAATCAGCCTGACTGCTATAGATTCGGAGAATCCTACTGACAACACAACCTTTCTGAAACACTTCAACCAGAACCTGCAGAGCAACAATGAAACATGTTTCTTTTCTTTGTCCAGTTTTGGGGCTGATTGTTCTTTAAACACCAAACTGTCCATAAATGATTTGAACTTTTCATGCACTCAGTACATGATGTGTACACTGAATCCATAAAGTGTCGATGGCTGGCTGAGGTCTGAATAAAATGTTTCGTCATCAGAGACGTCTTTGTATTGCTTTGTCTACTAACTGCGTAGAACAGTTCTTTTACTATGTACATCAAAATATTATTTAATAAATAACAATAACGGAAACACTATAGTAAGCAGACAGGAACAAGTTTATTGATTTGTTTTACTTCATGATGGTGTTGGCTTTGGTTAGTGACCAAAAGAATAAGATTGTGGATACAAGCATGCAGAAGATGCAGTAAGTGTCATGGTCCTGGGTCATTTTGACCCAGCGTTTTGTGTTTCCTTGAAATTCATTTTTGTGCCTTGTGTTTATTCTGATTTTGTATTAGTTTAGGGTTGAACCTGAAGTTTAGTGTTTTATCAGCCCTACTTGTGTCTGTCCTCGGTGCTCTGTTCATGTCACCGTGTTGTGTTGTAAATCAGTCTGTGGGTTTCCTGCTTTACTTTGAAGGCTCGTGTTCTGGATTTCCTGTTCTATTCTGAAGGTCTGTGTCTGTTGTCATTGTGTTCAGCTTGTCTCCTCCGGTCATCATGTGTATTGGGTTCAGCTGTTCTTCCCTCCTGTGTGTGATTACCTCGTGTGTGTATATTTAGTGGGTGTCGGTCTGTGTTCATTGTCGGCTCGTCTGCGTTCTATGGTGTTTCGTTCCTGTCTCTGCCCCGCACCCCTTTTGTATGCTCTCAGGTTTGTCATTTAGTTCTCCCAGTTTAGGTTTCTTCAGTTGTTTTGTCATGCCTCACTGCCTGTTTTTGCCACTCCACCACTTGTAAATAAATGTCACTCGAATCATCAGTCACTGCCGCATTTTGGGTCCTCCTTTTCCTCCAACACCACACGGCTCACCCCGCCAGCCATGACAGTAAGAGCGTAGGGAAATATTTTATTTTAAGCCAACATGAATATAATCTCGGGAAATAATTTAAACAGATATTATTAACACATTTATATTTAAACACAGATTTTTTTAGTAGATATGTGTCCAACTGATATTTAGGCTTAAAATGTCAGAGGTCTGTGATGGCACAAAACCCTCATTTGGTGTCCTGGTCCAAGAAACATACAAGAAACAGGAGCAGAAGATTTAAAGAACTGACCATCAGACAAAGAAAGTTCTTATATCCAACCCAACATTTGAGCCAAGCCCAAAGATTCTTGTGCTTCACAATATCAAAAGCAGAAAGCAGCTAATGTCCAAAATAATGAGGGCTGTGATATCTCCTGAATCTAATGTGAGTCACAAATAATTGATCACCTTCAACAAAGCTTTTTCAGGACTATGAAAAGCTCTGAAGTCTGACTGAAATAGTTGCTGTATATCATTTGAGAAGAAGTCATAACAAAATCACTTTTCCCAACACTTTTGACATTAATTTACAATTTGTAATTTATGTTAACAGGACAATGATTTCTTAGACTCGGCATAAAGGTTGAATTTTTATGTGTAAACCCTGAAATACAGTATTCTTAAAACATGCAGGAACAATACTGTGAAAAAGCATTTTCATATTTTAATATTGCACATAGCCTGAGTAAATACAAAATCCAGTTTGTAAATGACGATTTCATTTATTAAGGGATATAAAGCTATTCAAACCCACCTGCCCTTGTGTGAAAGATCAGATTAGATGATTGGAGTGGAGCAATGATGTCAGCACTGACTAGGACACCGTGAAAAAGTGGAAGTGACGTGATGAACAGACTAGCAGCCAAACAGCCAAGAAAGCAGACAGATGAACACTTACAGATTGTCCTTACTGAACATACACATGATAACGTAGGTGTAAGTGTAAAAATGTAAAATGAGCCTTGAGGAAACTGTTGTTGTGAATTGAATTGAATTTATACACCACAATTGCAGACAGACTGATTACCTGTCCAGGGTGTATCCTTCTCTCACCCTTGGATCAGCCCAGCACCTCTTTCTGCTCATAACATGGCAACTTCATTCAATATTCTATGTTCTCGTTTTGCTGCTACCTTCGCAAATTGGCCTCAGTTTGATCTTCATTTCATTTTTTTCAAATCATGGCAGCCTCTGAGTCCTGCATTTGGGCCCTAATGCATAAGCTCACGGTGACTAAGATGGAGAAATATTTCACATGCCAGGACTGACAAGGATGCCTCCTGGGTGAGGTGTTCCGGGCCAGAGCGTTCTCACTCCCGAGGCGTAACATGTCGACGTTTTGTCACGTCCCGCGGCGTTCCTGAGGAACGCGAAAGGAGACCTTCGGCGTTCTTATGGTACGCGGCGGGTTATGGATGGAATCCAGTGCAATGACGCTCCCGCGGGAGTAGACGTTCCAGCCCTGTATTCCAGCCCTAAACCTAACCTTATCCCTAGCCCTGACCATAACCTTATTCCTGACCTTAACCAGGACTTTAATGATGTTAAATAGCGTGTTTCTAAGCGATTTGAAGAATAAGAGCGAACATGTGTAGGTTCAGTCCAGACGGTTCTCATATTTCCTCTTTTTCCGAGGTCGTCATTTAGGAACGTGGTGGGTAGCCGAAAACGTAATATGGTGACGATTTGTCACCTAGCGTAAAATGTTACGCTTTGGGAGTGAGAACGGGTTGTCCGGGCATGTCCCAATGGATGGAGGCCCTGGGGCAGACCCAGGACACGCTGGAGAGATTACACCTCTCAGCCTGGCCTGGGAACACCTTGGTGTTCCCCCAGACAAGGTAGAGGAGGTGGCTGGGGCAAGGGAGGTGTGGGCTTCTCTGCTGAGGCTGCTGCCTGCACTTAACTGAAATTATTACAGTGCATCTTGAAAGGCAGAAGAAGAAATAAGAAAACCATTGTATTGTGGCAGACCACCAGGTGGCTCCACTCACACCCAAGTTGAAGGGAAGTGCTGGGGTGGAGATTTTGGCGCTTACTATATGTGAAGTTCTGAGAGTCAGTTAATAAAGTTGGAGTGAGACACTGAGACCTCTCCTGTCGTTATTACATACCTCCACATTGGTGACCCCTGTAGCGAACATGCTAAGGCTCGATGACAAAGCCAGCTCCGGCTTAGAAGCATCGCCGATGGCTGCGTTTGCTGTGGCGCTTAAATTGCCGGATTTTTGGCTTCAAGATCCTCCTTCATGGTTCGTGCACGTAGAAGCTCAGTTTGCTCTTCGTGAAGTTTCAGCCGACGATACTAAATACCACCATGTGGTGGCCTCACTTGACCCGCTGTCAACCCGCCGCGTGATGACTCTCCTCCGGGACCCCCCAGCCCAAGGCAAGTACGCCGCCCTCAAGGCGCTGCTGCTGCGGCATTACTCCCTCTCTGATGCTGAGCGGGCCGAGAAACTCCTTTCCCTCGCGGGCCTGGACGACGGCACCGCTCTCGAGCTCATGGAGAGCATGCTGTCCTTGCTGGGTGCGGATGACGGAGGATTTCTCTTCACCCACCTCTTTCTCCGACAGCTGCCGGCTCCAGTGCGCGCTGGCTTTGCCAACTCCCCGCTATTGGCCACGAAGGATTACCACTCCCTTGCGGAAGAGGCGGATCGCATCCTCCTGGCTACCAGGACTTTCGGCGTCCAGGCGATTGTTCAGGACTCACCAGCGTTTTCCCCCGTCCACGGTGGCTGGAATCGCTGCACGGCGGCACCGTGAAAGGGGCTTTGTTTTTATCACCAGCGTTTTGGAGTGAAGGCACAGCGCTGTCTTCCGCCTTGCAGTTTCCAGACCCAGGGAAACGGGCATGTCAGCGCTCTGTAGCAGCCGCGACCGCTGGCAACAAGGAAAGGCTGCTTTTCTTAGAGGACTCACGCTCGGGGAGGCGTTTCCTGGTGGACTCCGTTTCACAGAAGAGCCTTCTTCCCCGGCTGGCTCGGACAGGCTAGCTGAGGGCTGCGGGCCATTGCTAACAGCAGCTAATGGCTCTCCCATCAAAACCTTCGGTGAAAGGTTGGTGACTGTTTGCTTTCACGACCGTGACTTTCAGTGGAACTTTGTTGTTGCTGCTAGCTCTGTGCCTATAATAGGCGCTGATTTTCTTTGTGCTCACGGACTGCTGGTTGATGTTGCTAACAGACGTTTAATTGATGCTGTGTCATTTTCCTCATTACCCTGTTTGACTCGGGGTGCTCAGCCCGTGGTGCATGCTAACTCGATTCGGTAGATTCGGGTGACATTTTTCAGTGTTTGCTTTCTGAGTTTCCCTCACTCACTGTCCCCACTTTCTCGAGCACGGTGACGAAGCATGGGGTGGAGCATTACATAACTACAGTAGGGCCCCTGGTGTTCGCGCGCGCGTGCGCGCCGCCTCGACCCTGCCAAACTGGCTGTAGCTCGGGAAGAATTTGCCACCATGGAGCGTCTGGGCATCGTGCAGCGTTCGAATAGTGCCTGGGCTTCCCCGTTACACATGGTGCCTAAATCTGATGGTCGGTGGTGACCTTGTGGGGATTTCCGCAGTCTTAATAATGTCACAGAGAACGATCGTTATCCCATTCCCCACATCCAAGATTTTTCCGCCCATCTTGCGGGGACCTTGGTTTTTTCGAAGATCGATTTGGTACGGGGATATCACCAGGTTCCCGTGCGCGCGGAGGATGCCCCCAAAACCGCCGTAATTACACCTTTCGGCCTTTTTGAGTTTCTGCACATGCCGTTTGGCCTGAAAGGTGCCGCCCAAACCTTCCAGCGGTTGATGGACTCGGTCTTGCGCGGGCTGCCCTTTGTTTTTGTATATCTTGATGATATACTGGTGGCCAGCAGCTCGAAGGAGCAGCACATGTTCCATCTGCATCAGGTTTTTCAGCGTTTGGCGGAGCATGGACTGATTATTAATCCGTCTAAATGCCAGTTTGGGTTGCCCGTTCTCGATTTCCTTGGGCACCGTATTTCCACCGAGGGCGCGGTTCCGTTGCCTGACAAAGTCCGAGCTGTTTTGGAATTTCCGCGTCCCACGAATGTTAAGACACTGCAGGAATTTTTGGGGATGGTGAATTTTTACAACAGTTTTCTCCCCAGAGCGGCACACCTGCTGAAGCCCCTTATGGGGCGTTAAAAGGTAAGAAAGCTAATGACCCCGTTGACTGGTTTCCGGAAAGCATCCAAGCGTTTTCTGATGCTAAGTCAGCGTTAGCTAATGCTGCCCTTCTGGCCCACCCATCCCCCTCAGCGCCGATTGCGTTGACCACCGATGCGTCGGACATAGCGGTGGGTGCGGTGCTGGAACAGCGAATCTCGGGTGTCTGGCAACCGCTCGCCTTTTTCAGCCGTACGCTGCATGACAGTGAACGCAATTACAGCGTTTTTGACAGGGAGCTACTGGCGCTCCACCTGGCGACTCGTCATTTCCGTTTTTTTCTCGAGGGTCGTCACTTTACCGCATACGTGGACCACAAACCCTTGACGTTTGCCATGTCCAAGGTTTCTGATCCATGGAGTGCACGCCAGCAGCGCCAGTTGGCAGCCATTTCTGAGTTTACCACGGACATTCAGCACGTGGCTGGTAAATCCAATCATGTGGCTGACTGTTTGTCCCGTGCGCTGGTTTCTCCCGTCTTTCTCGGCATAGACTACTCCGCCATGGCTGACAATCAGAGAGGTGACCCGGACATCCTCGCGCTTAAATCCACCCAGACGGGCCTCATACTAGAGGACAGACCAGTGCAGGACGGTGGTCCCCTCCTCGTCTGTGATGTTTCCACCGGCCGCCCTCGCCCAGTGGTTCCCGCTTCCTGGCGTCGTCAAGTTTTTGACTCGGTACATGCTCTCTCTCATCCGGGGCTCCGGGCCTCTGTTAAACTGGTCAGCTCTAAATTTGTTTGGCCAGGCCTTCGCAAATCTGTTAAGGAATGGGCGTCGGCGTGCATTCCCTGCCAGCGTGCGAAGGTTCATAAACACACCAAAGCGCCCCTGGAGCCGTTCTTCATACCCAGCAAACGTTTCGATCATGTGCATGTCGATCTGGTGGGTCCTCTGCCGCAGTCACAAGGTTTTACGCACCTTTTGACTGTTGTTGACCGGACCACCAGGTGGCCGGAGGCGGTCCCCCTGGCGTCCACTACCGCAACAGTGGTGGCCAGCCTCGTTCACAGGATGGACCTTCCTCTGCCTGTTCTCTCCCTCCCAGGTTCAGTCGTTCGGGTCGTTTGCTTAGACCCAGGGTCCTGGACTGAATAGAGACCTAACTGTGTGTTCGGGGGGGTATGTGTGGCGGACCACCAGGTGGCTCCACTCACACCCAAGTTGAAGGGAAGTGCTGGGGTGGAGATTTTGGCGCTTACTATATGTGAAGTTCTGAGAGTCAGTTAATGAAGTTGGAGTGAGACACTGAGACCTCTCCTGTTGTTATTACATACCTCCACATTATATCTGTTTTTCAGTTTGTTTGTTTTTGTGTACTGCATTTGTCCACAATGCAGTGAAAAATAGATTTGTGACATTAAAGTTTTAAACGTATGGCTGTTAAACTGTGGCCTGTTAGAAGTGTCACAGTGACTGAGTGCATACTTGAACTTTTTCTCAAATAAACTTGGTCACAGGTGTATAAAATCCAGCACCCAGACGTCTACAAACATTTGTGAAAGAATGAGTCGCTCGCAAGAGCTCAGTGATATGATAGGATGTACCACCCGTGCAACACGTCCAGTTGTGAAATTTCTTCACAATTAAATATATTACACTCTGCTGTCAGTGGTATTATAACAAAGTGGAAGTGATTGGGAACAACAGCAACTCAACCACAAAGTGGTAGACCACGTAAAAACACAGAAGGGGCCAGCAAATGCTGAGGCACACAGTCAGCAGAGGTCACCAACTTTCTGTAGAGTTTATCGTTACAGACCTCCAACCTTCATGACGGCTTTAGATCAGCTCAAGAACAGCACGTAGAGGTTTCATGGAACAGGCTTCTTATTCGAACAGGACTGCGCACCAGTGCAGAAAGCAAGGTCCATAAAGACATAGATGAGCAACTTTGACCTTCACAGTCATGACCTCAATCTGACAGAACACTTTTGGGATGTATTAGAGCAGAGAATATGAGTCCAGTCTTACACCTCCATTCACCACGATGCTAGCCTAGCAATTTAATGATGCTCGCTTAAAATAAAATGGTGGAGTAATGTGACTTTATTTACCTCACCAAGGTTCAACTGCATCACTTTGACTTCTTGCATTAATCCTCACATTAGAGTCATGTACACCGTGAATATATCACCCACATTATCGTTGCTACTTACTACACAGATATATGTTTCTTACAGTCATTTCAAGTAGTGTGTAAACTTTGATGGAAACCATAAAAATGTTAGCAATGTTAGATATACCTTTAGAAGCAGCTGAATGAATTGCACAATCAGGTCAAACATACAGCCTCTGATCCATCGAGTCCGGGAAGTGACTTTGAAATTTGGACAGTAAATAGTTTCATTGATTTGATGTTTCAAAGTAAATGATTCTGGTTGGCTTCAGGGAAAATGCTCAGAACTGCTCCAAACATACGAACCAATGTGTAATGAATAAAATCAATGAAAAATAGATGTTGCTGAGATTTTTCCCATATTTCTTTTATTCATGTTTAAAAACAACTTCAATAAAAAAAATGTGACCACATATTTGAGTAAACGTTTGTGGGAAAACAGTATTTTTTTCCACGTTCTTTCTCAAAAGTTGTTTTGGATGTGTACGAACTTTTTTCCATCCCACAAAATGGGAAGGGCCAAGGTGATTGCACAAACTTTCGGGTGACAGTTGTGATAAGTAGCTGGTTCTCATGTGGATTACCTTTAACTGCTGGTGCTGCTTTGTTGTTGGACGATTTAAAAATGTGCATCAAATATTTTGCATTTGCTCTTCTTTGGTTTCCTGGAGTGCTGCACGGTGAGAACAACAAGTAACTTCACAGAAAAACATTTACACTGGTTGATAATGTTTTGCACTTACTTCAGTGTTGTGTTTCAGCACAGAGCACCACACAGGCCTGTGATGCTCCCACACTGGACGGTGGCTTCTTTGCCCCAAAGCAAGAGACTTACTCTCAGGGCACCAAGCTGAGCTACACCTGCAACGAAGGACGTACGCTAGCAATGAAGGGTTGGTGGGCAACCAGCACATGTCACAATGGAAAATGGTCTCATCAGCTACAGTGTATAGGTAAGTCCTGCCAATAGCTCTTCTTTCTTTGCTCACCCACTTAAAGAAATCTGGTCGCCTTCTTTCCAAGATCCTTAAACTGCTAATCTTAAAAGTAGAGAGGGTGTCTGTCTCCTCAATCTAAACTGGGAGCAGGTTCCACAAAAGAAGGGCCTGATAGATGAAAGTGCTGCCTCCCATTCTACTTTTAGAAACTTTAACTCTTTATTTAAGACCTTTTATGTCAGAGGAGGAGTGTCAAATTTAATTCTGCATTTTAAAGGAGCCAATAAAGGGAAGATGATACAGGAGACGTATGATGATAGTACTCTTGCTATAGCAATTTGGATTAACTGCAAAGTATCTGTAAGTATCCGGTTGGACACCACAGTCTGCACACTATGATGAAAACTATTGGTCAACCAAATTAATACTGGTCAACACAGAACAAATTTGAGACCAATGCTGTTAATAAAGGCATTTTATGTAATTTGTTTACAGTAGCAGGTCCTCACTTTTCTTTGATCCATAACTCAACTCACAGGAGTTTTTATGATTAGTGTTTAAGGACTGTAGGTTTTGTGGGTTTGATCCTGTGAATAAGCTACAAACAAACGGCCCTGCTCTGGGATTAATAACGTTTTTGAGTCTAAATCTAATTTTACAGAAAGCATGAATGCGTGCAGCGTGCCTCCTAAAATCCCCCATGCAGTCATCGTTCATCAGGACTACCAGGAAGTGTTTGCTGCAGGTTCAGAAGTGCAGTATGAGTGTGAGGATGGATACACTGCAGAGGGAGCACACAACACAAAATCTGTTTGTACACAAGGAAGCTGGACACAAGGCCCGACCTGCAGTAAGCTGACTGTTTACTGAGATCTGCATTTATGTATTTACTTTTTATGAATTGGCAATAATCCACAGTAAGTTTAAAAACAACTGATCACATGACACTTGTATCAGTGCACAAATGAATGAGAATGTTTAGTGAATGATCAGGTGGTCAGAAATATAATAAATAAAAAATAATAAGTAGTCTGCAATCAATCGAAGTTTACAGTCTACAAATGATGCACGTTTAAACAGGAAGTGGACTGTCAGTGTCTGTTTACAGTCTTTTCTGCTGTTCATAGTGAAATTTAATAAAATACAAAAATACAAAAAAAACAGATATTTAATACATATTACAGTGACTTTATCCTTTTATTTCTGGGTGTTTTTGAGCAGTAAAAGTTCTTGGATGCATATGTAGTGTGTGTAGAACCTTGTTAACATAAAAATGACTGACAAACTTTATATAATAATAGTAGAGAAAATGTTCAAATTGGCCTAATCTCAAAGCAAAATAACTGTTTTGTATCTTTCAGGATCTTCAAATGAGGGAGACACACGTCTTCGTTATACAACAAGTAAATAAGTACATTATTTTCTCCTTGAATTTATTCATGCTGACCAATCAGAATGTTAAGTGCATTACCTCAGCGACAGTTTGGTATGTTTTCAGAAATATTCCTGCGTTTTCATTTCAGTTCAAAGTTGCGGAAACTTCCCTGTTATTGAAAATGCTGTTGCTCAGCAAACTTCACGATACTATTTGATATACCGATGCCAACGTTTGTACAGATTAGTGGGTCCAGAAAGAGTGAAGTGTATCAGCAGTGGCACGTGGTCAAACTTACCTGAGTGCAGAGGTATAAACACATCAATGATAATCATTTTTAAGGATCTCTTAAAGCGTTGGGGAGAAATTTTAATTTGATGGTTGTTTCTTGTGTCCAGTTAACTTCTGTGCTGTCAACACCAATGACAATCCTGAATACAAATCTGTGGGAACTGTGCACATAGAAAATGGTGAGGAAGAGAGAGTGGAGTGTGTGAAACCACACAGCTGGTCGTTTGAACATTATTCTAAGGTTCGATGCATCAATGGAAGAGTGGAGGCAACTAACTGTAAGTATTACTGTAAACTCTCTATGTTTGAACGTGTCAGTCAGAAAAGTTTTCAGTGCTGTGTTGCCTACATGTTACCACGTTTTTATTACCTATAAGAAAGAATTTTTTTTAACAAATAATAAAACTGAACATGAATCATTTTAATAACAACTACTTTTAAAAGATCTGAGCACTTAATGTCTCTCAGTGTCGTCAAATTCAAGCAAGCTTTTACAACTTTAAACTCCTTTAAACACACAGAAAAAACTACAGCAACTCTGCTGATTCACTGATTCCTTGTAGCACGTGCTGCAGCCCTGACAGCTTCCCTTTCTCTGCACTAATGCCTGTGATGATTTAAATCTGAAGTTATCCTTGCCTTTTCCACTTGGCAATTTCTAGTGGAATCACAATAGATCTTATAGACCTGATGAATATGTATTTCTTTAAAACATGCAAAAAAGCTTTAAACAGAGTTTACTGTGTGATCACATTCAAATTCAAATTCAAATTCAAATTCAAATTTTATTTGTCACGTACACAGTCATACACAGTACGATATGTAGTGAAATGCTTGGACAACTGCTCGTGACCTAAAGAAACAAAAAAGGAAAAGGCTATGAATAAGATAGGAAATAAATATGAAAAATTAAAAAGGGTAAATTTAACTAGGAAGGAATAAAATATAAATTAAGGTTAAAAATGAAATAACTGTACAACACAAATTAGAATGAAGGGTAAATTTAACTGGGAAGAATAAGATAAAATATATAAATTAAAGTTGAAAATAAAATAACTGTACAACAAAATACACAATATAGAACTATATAAGAATGTATGAAGAAATCTAAATATAAATAAATATATACACAATAACAGCAGCTGTACAAGTATTAACCGGAAATGAAGAATATAGTGACCAGTGTTGTGCAAAACCAATGTCCAGAATGTCCAGTGTGTGTGTAAGAACTATATGTGTGGGTCAGTACTGTGTGGTGGTGTGATTGAGAGACCGTATCGCCTGCGGGAAGAAGCTCCTCCTCAGTCTCTCTGTGTTGGTCTTCAGGGAGCGGAATCGCTTTCCTGACCTCAGCAGAGAGAACAGTCTGTTGTTGGGATGGCTGAGGTCCTTCACGATCTTCCTGGCCTTGGTCCAGCACCGCCTGCTGTAGATTGAGTGCAGGTCAGGGAGCTCGGAGCGGATGGTGCGCTCAGCTGACCGCACAACCCTCTGTAGAGCTCGTCTGTCCTGCATGGTGCTGTTCCCGAACCAGGTTAAGATGTTCCCCGCCAGGATGCTCTCTATGGTGCACGAGTAAAAGTTCCTGAGCACCTTGGAGGGCAGTTGGAAGTCTCTCAAGCGTCTGAGGTGGTAGAGACGCTGTCGGGCCTTTTTCACCACGGTGTTGATGTGACAGGACCATGACAGGTCCTGCGTGATGTGAACTCCGAGGTATTTGAAGCTGTCCACTCTCTCCACTGGGCACTCGTTGATGACGGGGGTCTGGTAGTTCCTCTCCTGCTTAGTGCTGAAGTCCACTATCAGCTCCTTTGTCTTACTGACGTTTAGAAGGAGGTTGTTCCTCTGGCACCAGTTCTCCAGATTCCTAATCTCCTTCAGGTAGGCCGTCTCGTTGTTATCAGAGATCAGGCCCACCACGACGGTGTCGTCAGCAAACTTGATGATGGTGGTGGAGCTGGTAGTGGCCACACAGTCATATGTGTACAAAGAGTACAGCAGGGGGCTCAGAACACACCCCTGGGGGGCTCCAGTGCTGAGAGTGGTGGAGGCTGAGACATGTCCGCCCATCCTTACTGCCTGTGGTCTGCCAGTTAGGAAGTTGGAGATCCACTGACACATAGATGAGCTGAGTCCCAGATGCTCCAGCTTGGTGGTGAGTGTGGAGGGAATTATGGTGTTAAATGCAGAGCTGTAGTCTATGAAGAGCATTTTAACATAATTCCCCCTTCTAGTGTCCAAGTGAGTGAGTGATGTGTGGAGGAGATGAGAGATGGCATCGTCTGTGGAACGATTTGGACGGTAAGCGAACTGTAGTGGGTCCAGTGTGTCTGGTAGTGAAGAAATGATGAAGTCTCTGACCAGGCGTTCAAAGCACTTCATCACTACTGAGGTGAGGGCTACAGGGCGATAGTCATTGAGAGAAGCAGGGTGGGGTTTCTTCGGGACAGGAACAATGATGGACTCTTTGAAGCATGTGGGGATCACCGACTGAGATAAAGAGATGTTGAATATCTCAGTGAACACAGGAGCTAGCTGGTATGCGCAGTCTCTTAGGATACGACCTGGGATGCCGTCTGGTCCTGCTGCTTTCCTGGTGTTCACTCTCTTGAAGGCTCTCCTTACTTCATGCTCGGAGATGACGAGCACGTTTCCGGTGCTGGCAGTATCTTCCTGTCTGCAGCCGTTACCGCCGCTAACACTAGCATTGTTGGAGACCTTTAATGAGGCTGATAAATATGTTGTTTACTTTGTGCCTCGTGTAAACACAGGTGACTATTTAGTAAACAACCATATCCACTTCTATAGAAACTTCTGCCTCATGCAGTGATTTAAACAGTATCCCAGTAAAGTCGATTAAACAAATTATCAAACCTGATAAAAAAAACTGCCAGCAGCTTGTAGACATGTAGAAAACTGAACACACCTCATCTGCAAATGTTAAGTAACTGAAGTGTTCACACTGAGCTTCTGCATCACTGTTTACAGGTTGTGACAGGGCAGAGCATGCAGTGGTGAGTGTTCCTCTTTAAAAGAAATGCTGTTATTGCTCTGATTTAACGATGTTTCAATTGAAGAATGACATCTTGACTTTTATACTTAGTTTTCACACTTTCGTTATTTTCTCCTTTGTTTTTACATTTTAAAATTATATTTGTCATTTATTCATAAAACATCTGTTCTTCTAACCAGGGATTGTGTGACTAAACCTGTAGCTGAGGATTAGCTCACCACTTTGGAGCTTTTACAGGAGGAACCTGACTTATGATCGCATCGTCACAGCCTGTGTTAGCTTTTCATTTTCATCTTCAAAAATTTAAGAGAAAATGGTTTGTGTGCTCTTATTTGAGACACAAACACCACCAAACTGAATAAAGTCTCAGATTTTACCATCAAAACTGCTCCTGCTTTGTGTGTGTGTTTTATTTGTTTAGTATCTGAAGAGCACTGATTTAAACCTAGCTGTTGTCAGGTTTATATAATGGATTGTCATTTATGCTTAGAAATATTTACTCATATATGCTTAGAGTTTTATAATTGGTTGTAGATTGATAGAGGTTTAATCCGTAGTAGTCTGTGGAGACTGTGTGCCTCCCAGAGCACTCTGGCATGCACACACAACTTAAGGTCAGGAGAGAAGTTATATCTGCTCTTACTGATTTATGGTATAGGACAGACCTTCCCAAAGTGTGGGGCCCGCCCCCTAGGGGCAATGGCGTGTCCAGAGGCCACCCCCCAACCAGACTGGCCACCCCAGGTGCCACCCCAAAGGTAAAACAATAAAATTCAATCAAATGTACGATTATGTTTTCACGGTGAAGCTCAGATATCCGAGTGTAAGTGAATGCAGCATCGGCTTCTGCGCTATGTGCATCACGTTAGCAAAGGTAGGAGAGCCAAGCACGAAAGACGGCACTGCAGGAAACAATTTTTCGGTGAAAGAAAATGAGGACAGAATAAATGTCCCGGTAAGTAATATCAAGTTTGTTGAGTTTAGTAAACTTCGGTGAAATTAGAATCCCAAGGAGAAAATAACACTTAAATGTCACGGTTTGCGGGGCAAGCCGTGTGGATTTGTAGTAAGGACCCAAAAGGCGGCAGCTCTGGTGCAGGTGAGTGTTTATTTACAGCAGTGGGTACAAACAGCAACGGGGTGTGAACATGAAACCGAAACCTAAACTGGGTAAACTAACAACACAAACCAGGAATGACGGTGCAGGGAGGTCCGGGGAAATACATACGGGGAGACGCAGGGAGACCGAGGGGAAACAACACAGACGAACCAGCAATTACTATGACAGAAGACACAACTTAAATACACTCAGAGAACACAGGGAGATTACATACAGGTGGGAACACCGCTGGGAGTAATTAACATGACGAGACTAGGGAGGCAAACTGAAAACACTCACATAAGATACAGACCTTCACAATAAAACAGGAACTTACACATGAAAGGACACAAACTAAGAAACGCGGACTAGATACAGGAACACACGGGCAGAACAGAGTAAACACTAACCAGAGGAAGAACAGAACCAAAATCGCGAAGAGAAAACACAAAACGCTGGGTCAAAAGGACCCAGGATCATGACAGTACCCCCCCTCAAAGGCTGGCTCCAGACAGCCCAACAAGAAACAAAACAGCCAGAAAAAACAGAAAACAACCCGACCAGGGCGGGCGGCGGGGGCCCAGGAAGGAGGGCTCGAAGCAAAACAAAACCGGAGCACCAGGGCCCTGTTTCAGGAAGCCGGTTTAGTGGAAAAACTGAGTAAGTATACCCTGAGTTAACGAAAACTCCGGGTTTTCGGTTTCACAAAGCGATTTCAGATGAAGCCTCAGTGAGTCACTATGACGACACACTCCGTGAAGCTAACCTGCCCCCTAGCAGGTTTACTTCAACTAACCCTGACTGTCTCCGCTCCTTTGTCGGAAACCTGACTGTAGGAAGTGTCGGACATGGCGTGTCCCTTCCTTGAAGAGCCAGTAGATCGTGAAGCCCAAATACTCCGCAGAGCTCTCCGCCGGGAGAGAGTGATTAGAGCGCGTTTGGACATTTTATCATTTCCTGATGATTTTCTGTGTGAACGTCACCGTTTCTCAGCACAATCTATAAGTTATTTGGATAACATCCTCAGGCCTAATATTACGCATGTGACACATCGCGGACATGCTCTCAGTTCATTACATATTATTTGTATTGCACTCCGTTTCTTTGCAAACGGGAGCTTTCTGTATAATATTGGTGACGCTGAGCATGTTTCCAAGGCTACCGTCTGTCGGGCAGTCAGGAATGTTACAGTTGCACTGAAACGTCTCCTGCACTCGTTTGTGGTGTTCCCCGGTCATAGACCCACAAGATTTATCAAAGAGGGATGCCACAAAATTGCAGGTATCAGGATGACCAAAACTTAATTTATGATGTGGTGATACTTGAACTACTACATAAATTTTACATTTATTTTCACGGTTCCCAGGCGTGATTGGCTGTACAGATGGCACTCACATTCCAATCATTGTTCCTTCAGTAAATGAAGGAGACTATGTGAACAGGAAGTCTTTCCACAGCATTAATGTACAGGTACATAGTTCCCTGTAGCATTTCAAACTAACAAATTATTTCATTATAGTAATGGATGCTAATTTGTGTTCTCTGCACTGTGAAGATCATATGTGATGCTGCCAACATTATCACAGATGTGGAAGCCAAGTGGCCAGGCTCTGTCCATGACTCACAAATATTCCGTGAATGTACACTGAGCACAAAATTTGGACATGGTGAGTTGAGAATACTTTAAAATATATAAAGACCAATTGCTTCAGGGACATTTGAACTGAAGTGTATCCTTCTGTCTCAGGAGAGTTCACTGGCTACTTGCTTGGTGATAGGGGGTATCCATGTTTACCCTATTTGCTTACCCCTTACCCTGACCCTGAACTGGGCCACAGCAGCGATATAATCTGGCTAATTGCAGGACAAGAGCCAGAATTGAAATGACTATCGGAATGCTTAAGGCCCGGTTCCAGTGCCTGCAAAGACTCAGGGTCACCCCAGAAAGGGCATGTGACATTATTGTGGCATGTGTGATTCTTCACAACATTGCCACAATTAGAGGAGAACACTGTCCTTCTGAACCAAACATCAGCAGTGATCCAAACCATGAACATCCTGACCCTCCCACGGACATACAAGATGGAAGCGCAGTCAGAGACACCATATGTCACAATCATTTCTTTTGACCCATCACCTCAACATGTTGAAAGAAGAATAAACAGATTTTTTGTTCAACTGGCTTTATTGGTCGCCTGTGTTTCCTGTACACAAAGTATTAAAAGATGTAAACCTCATAAAGTGTCTCTGTTGCTTCCACCTCTGTAACAGCTGTCAATGTTTCTTCATTATTTTCCTGTAGTAAAGAAATAAACAACATTGCTGTTCTACTGTAAACTCATATAATCTGTGGAGTATTACTCACAACTGCATGTTGGTCTGGCTCAACAGGAGGCTGCACCAGATGCAGTACACCACCACCATCAACTGATAGAATATGAGGTTTATACAGGTCACTTATAACTTACAAGGGACCAAATGGCAATTAACAAACATACCAATCACCTTACACTTCATTGTCATTATGCTCTCAAAGACAACCAAGACTGAGGGAAGGCAAAATCAGTAGGAAAATAACTTCACTACAAAAAAATTCATTATGGTAAAGAGTTTATCAAATGAATGAGTAGCACTGCAAAGGTGACTGTGAAGAAAGGATGTATGCACATCATGTATTATTTTGAATTTACCCCCTATGTAGGCACTTGTGTCTTGCGGGGTTATTGACTCAGAGGATGTCCCCGCAGAGATGCCTTCAGCCACAGGGCGCCCACTGTTTTGGCTGAGGGCCAACTGCTCAGCCTCTGTGAGTGGTGGTGGTGGAGGACCCCCACCTGTTTTTCGGGCCTCCGCTTTTTTTCTGTTGGCTATAACGGGCCACATTTGAGCATACAGAGTAAGCAAATATGTACTTGTAATGTGCTCAGATAATTTCAATAAGTGCTTACAGAAAGAAAATTAATGTAGCCTCTAACTGCAATCGATTTACATGGGACAAACAGACCAAGCACTATGGCTCATAATACCTTACCTGTTTGGACTATATTTTTATATTTCATTTTTACTTGCTGCCAGGAACGTTTGGGGCCTGTTAGGTTGCACCTGCGCTCACATCACATCACAAAATAAAATGTATAAAATAACAAATAAAATAACATATGATAAAATAACGTGTTAAATGGGTGGAAATCCCTCGATCAATGTTTATATTAACACTCACGCATTGACTCTGTCGGCTATGTTTTGCCATGCATGCTCTCTTTCTTTTGCAGCTGTGGCTGTGTTACTTTTTTCCGCGGAATTTGTATGTTATCAGCATATGCTGCCATCAGAATTTCGGCCTCAAGCGCTGTGAAATACATTGACTGCGCCTTCTTTCCCTCCGTCTCCATGGTGACTCGCTTACTCTGTGCTCCGCTTATCAGGGCTTTATGTATCCTCGTGCGCGCGCTTCACTTGGGGTTAAAGCAACTCCGCGTTGATTGAACTAATTGTTATCAGCCTTTCTGAAACCGAATATTCCGAGTTGGACAGTTCGGGGTTACTCAACCCTGCGTATCGTTTTTCACTCTGAGTCTTCTAAACCGGCTTCCTGAAACAGGGCCCAGAAGGCCAAAAGACAAAAACAAAAAACGAGCCCAAAACCAAAAGAAACGAAGCACACCAGAACACAGGAAAAAACAGAGCCCAAAACAGAAGAGTTCAGGGGGCCGACAGCACAGGAGTCCAAACAGTTCAGGGGGCCGGCCAGGGGGCCGACAGCACAGGAGTCCAAACAGTTCAGGGGGCCGACCGTGCGGACGGCAACGGCGGCGACGTGGACACAGTTCGGGGGGCCGGCCGTACGGAAGGCAACGGCGGCCACTCAGGCGATGGCGGTCCGGGGCCCGGCCGTGCGGAAGGCAACGGCGGCCACTCAGGCGATGGCGGTCCAGGGGCCGGCCGTGCGGAAGGCAACGGCGGCCACTCAGGCGATGGTGATCCGGACCAGGCGAGGATGAAGACTCGGATGAGGCTGGACCAGGCGAGGATGAAGACTTGGATGAAGCTGGACCAGGCGAGGATGAAGACTCGGATGAAGCTGGACCAGGCGAGGCTGAAGGCTCGGATGAAGCTGGACCAGGCGAGGCTGAAGGCTCTGAGGCTGGACCAGACGAGGCTGAAGGCTCTGAGGCTGGACCAGACGAGGCTGATGATGATGCTGCAGCCGACGAGGATGATGATGATGCTGCAGCCGGCGAGGATGATGATGAAGCTGCAGCAGGTGGCTGGACGGGCTCCTCGGGCCC